GTGCAGTATAAAAAATAGAGTCAGTGATTCGAAACCAGCAAAGTGTTTGATTCCCCTCAACGACATGGACAATTTGCGTGGTCTTATCTCCTGGTTGTTCTTTTTGGGAATTTGGGGCCCGGCCCCCCTTCTTGCGACCCGCCTCCAGCTGAAAGCAGTGCAGCCAATGGTCCTCCAAAAGTGACGGGGAGGGAAGAAGCGAGTTCTTGTGGCTTGCCCAGTCATAGCTCTGACCCAACAAATGGGAATGCTTGTTCAGACCCCCCAAAAAAGGAGATGTGCTTTGAAACCTCTACCCCAAACAGGTCCCAAAAAGGGAGGGGAGGCAAATGGTTGCCCTGAGCATTCACCCCGGTTGAAAAGTTGGAACTCGCGTAACAGAGCGTCTAACTTCACTTTGTGCTGGTTGAAAAGGAAAACTACACAAACCAAAAGGGCAAAACCTTAACAAGGAAAGCAAATCTGGCAACTTAGCAATGAAAGGGGCCTTTATGTTCAACCAAAACGTGGAACAGTCAAACGGCAAACACTGTGGGGCTGTGAAGATCAGCGCGCCCCACGGAGCGAGCAATTCGCAAGACCTACCACGGGCGTGGGTTCTGGTTCCTGGCCTGTCCTCTTGGAGAAAAAGTTCTGCAAACCTGCTTGGAAAATGGAAAGCTTTTGGGGGGGGGGGGAATGCATTTCTTTGTGCATCTCCAGCATCGCGTCCCCTGCATCGGCTCCGCAAACCAACCAGCCATCATCTCCCGCATGCCCAACCAGCATCTCCAGCATCCCCAGCCAGCATCTCCAGCTTCCGATCTCCGGCACGATAAAAATCCACTCCGGATTCTATGTTAATCCGAACTCCTACCGACCTGAAGGTCGATCTCCATCATCCTACGCCTTCACAACCTGAAGTCAGAAGCCCGAAGTAAAGGGCTTACATTGTGGAGAGATCGTTCTGCCCCCTAGACCGATACTACTGACTAAACCTAGGCCAAATCCGAAAAAATACCCTGTATGCACGTGCCTGGTTGAAGAAAAACAATCCACGTGCAAAGAAATCCATTTTTTAATCAAAAAGGATTCTCCAGCGGAGGCCGGACAGCTGGCGGGTCGGAAAAGCAGGGTTGCCAATCCATCTATGTCACAGCAAACCATCCTTGCCACGAAGGGGGGGGAGCGGGTGGGCAGGACATAAGGTGGGTTTGGGACCCTTGCTTTATCTATTCCTTTGATTTTGGCCAGCCGACCTACGTAAGTCACAGCCTCTCAAATTACCCCCCCCCTCCCACTCACATTGCACCTGCGGTAAGGTACCTGGAAACAAGCTTCATTCTTTCAGGGCAGCAGCTTAGGAGTATCTTGCCTCCCCAACCGAAACTGCTACAAAGACCCGATCGACACAAGGCTCAAAACTCGGTCGCGGGTGGAAACCAAACCCATTTTCTAGCCTTGTGAATTTGACCAACTTGAGGCTGGTACGGGAAACGTGAAGGAAACCAAACAAAGCCTCTAGCCTTGCTTGATCATCGTCTCGGCGCGCCCCCCCGCCTTGGACAAGACCACAACTCTCAGCTGAGGCGTACTCAGGCTCCACCGCCGCGGCGACTGGCACACGTTTAGGCGGTCTCAAAAAACCCAAATGAGAAACCGACACTGAATAGCGCAAAAAGTACATTTGTGTTTGCCAGTGCAACCAGGTGTTGATGGCTCTACATGGGGGCCCTGAGTCAACAATATTTTTGGGTGTTGCCTAAACTTCAGCCCACGTCACATCCCTTGATTTATGTTTTCCCAGAAACGAATGGAAGGAGGGCCACCAAGCATATTTGCGGATCACACATGTCCAACTTCTTACGATCAGTACGTACGTAGGTTAATCCCGAACGGTGGCTATATGTCTACACACGTAACAACCACATCAGTTACACCTCAAACCAACCCAAACCCCGTATCACCATGTGAGCTATGTACCTTGTTTGGAACACGCCGCTTGGACTCCGAGCCTCGAACAGGGGAATGAACTCATGGGACCTGTGGGGCAGGCCATTCCCTGTGGGCCTTCCGCTTGTTTGTGCTAAACATGGGATATGTACAAGTCCTGGCCCATTCCCTTTCTTGAAAAGAACGACCCAATGCAACAACAGCAACGCATAATACTTATTTGTCATATTATATATATATATATATATATATATATGATATATGTATACAATATATATATATATATAATATACAATATATATATATATAATATATACAATATATGCAAATGGAAAACGGGAGATTGCCCGTGAACCCCCTAGGCAGGAAATGTGAGCCACGGCCAAAACGCAATTCGTCCTTTCATCGTCCCGCAACTTAAGCCGCGCTCGTCCCCTGGTTTTTGTGGGAAATTGTGTCAGTCCCCCCCATATCCAAATTATATCATAGTCTGATATTTCAACCGAACCTCTGCACATTCTACAACAATTCCACAACCTGAAAGTAGGGAACCCCAAAAACAACCTTCATGACGGTGAGCTCGTTTACCCCCGAGTGTCGCCGTAAAAGACAGCTGACCCAAACAAAAGGCCGACGGATCTCCGGCTCTCGCCAACTCTTTTGCGCATGGGCGCATCGAACTCCTGGGTCGCTGAGCCAATCGGTTCGTCTCCAAATGGGATGTCGGGGTGTGCCTTTGTTGAGGGCACTCTTTCGGCTTGGTTTGAATAGAAACCAAAAGGAACACCCACCATTTTAGGGGAACCCCAATTTTTGATACTGTACATATTGTTCCATTATCCTTCCTGGAAATGAAGCATCTTAACGAAGCAGGATACCAACTTTCAAAAAGGAACCACCTCTGGGTGAGTGGTCACCCCCCTCTCGTCTGGGTACCCTTTAGGTAGATGATACATAGCATACATCCGTTTTCCAAACCTGAAATAAGGGATCACCATGTGAATGACCTTCATGGTGAGCTCGTCTTATTCCCGGGCAACGCGCCATGTGACAGGCAAGCATGATACCTACATGATACCTGGCAAATACCTGACGTCAGGAGGACCCAAACAAGAAGCCTTTTACATGTACCCCGGTTTTGCGGATATACTGGTAAGGCTCTTATGAGAGGCTTACCAAGTCGGAGGTCCCAACTGCATACCTCTAGATGCCCCTCCAAAATGCAGAAGCGTCAATCCACAATGGACACATTATAAGAGGTACGTATTTGCCAGGAAGATACTAGACCTAGGGCGAGACTAGGGGAAAGTGGCTTATCGTGTAGAGTCTGGGTTGTTTCACTTAGGTCTCGCTCCTGTGAAGCCTCGATACAACTCCATTACAAAGGGGAACACCCCTGATTAGCAGGGCACTCCAGATTGATCCAAAGTTGACACTTGCAACATCTCTCCGCCCAATTCCTCGACCGATTTTCCCCTTAGTGTCCCCCAATGTTCGGAGTTGTCACTGAGAGAAACGGCAAATCCTTCCACGTTTCTGGGACAAAGGGTTGGCACACCCGGGAAGGACCCGCGCCCCCACTCTCCTGGACCCACAGCGCCGCACGCCGGCTTGCTGTGCTGGCATCCAGCGTCAAGCTGCGCAAGTCTCGGCCTGTGGACTCCCAAATGAACCGGAGGGTCTGCCAAATGGGATCCGGTTTAAATTCGGTTTTGACCTTCAAAAAAGCGAAAAGTGAAAAGCGTGGCATGAGTGGATTGGCTCAAAAGAGGTAACCACCAAACTTTGTGTTTACCGCTAAAATGAGATTCGCAAAAAGTGCAACGTCCAGGAACTTGGGGAGTAAGTTTAGCTTTAGCCTTCCTCCAATGATTTGTCATGCTCTTCTCATGTTGCTCCACAGTTGGTCTGGTTTGAGTCATGACTCTAGCAGGTCCGGCAAAGGCGTCCATCCAATGTTGTTTAGCAAATTCTAGAGATCACATCTCCAACTAAGTCGTGCGCCCCTGAGGGCGTATGTCCCTAGGGTTGTATCGCTTGTACAGTTATCCTCTGTCCAACAATCCTGAAAGCCAACTGAAAGCTTTAAAGATTACAGTCCTCTTGAACAACCTTCTGTCAGCTTCCATGTTGCTGAAAAGCGGGTAAAAAGGGATAGCTGACCTGCCTGGGTGTCTGGCCAAAACCTGTTTGAACTATTTGTGCCTTGCCTAAAAGGATGAAGACATCACCCAACAGTTTACAAGGTTGCCAAGGCAACGGAATTTTTTGATCACTTGCTATTCAGCGTCTGGGACACTACTATGCCATGCATGGAACCGGCACCTGGCCTTCCTTCTGCAGCTGCTCCTTCGCGGAGAATCACATCCGAAATGCCAGATCTGCGGAGGTACCAAAACGTGCTGTCGCCAGCTGAGAGCTTTGGGGTCTCTGTCCGAGTGGTTCAGAGTGGCTCTGGGCCAAGGTTCCGGACGGGTTCCTGGGGTTGCTGTTTCGGACATCACCTTTTGTTTGGCTTGTCTTTTTGGTTCCCTTGAACCAGCCAACCAAAAAACGGGTTCCCTCAAAAAGTGTGCACACAAATGGGAAAAGAGTTAGTTATGCCCGGACAGAAGCCTCAACAACGTCTGCAGCGAGTGTTCCAATGTTGGCCTCTGATTAAACATACTCTCATCCAAAACAATCCCAAGGTCAAGCGGCCATGTTTGGCCGTCCCCTTCTGAAAGGGGCTGGAAAATCTGCTGGCGGGGAAGTGATCAAGGGCCCAAAGAACACCAGTTGCAAGGCATCTTCCAGTCGTCCCATGACCCTTGTGAAACAAGGGGCCCTTTTTGGCGCGGCCTTGGCATCCATAACTCCGGCATCGCCGTTTTCCGCCCCACCGTCTGGTGCGGCGTGAAACGCGGGGAGGCCTGTACAAGTTGGAGCCATAGCTAACCTGCTGAGATGACTGGCCAAAAACGTCTAAACTTGTTGTGGACTCGCCTAAATTATGAAGAGGCCTACCAAAAGCTTAAAGCTTGACAACTCAACAGGTAAGATAGTGACTGTGATGTGCTTGCCCGCGGTCAGCCAAGGCCACCTCGCTCCTGAATCTCACCTGCGCACAGAAGAAACCAAAGCGGTTGATTCCCGTAACAACTTTCTCGCTTGAAAGGAGGCTCCTTGATATCACTGAAAATGGCAACCTGAAAGCAAGCTCTCCATGCAAGAAAGAGAGCCAATAATGAGGCTTCAAAAGGTGGCGGCAATGGTAGTGGAAGCGACAGTAAAAGAAGTAGTAGTAGTAGTGGTGGTGGTGGTGGTGGTGGTAGTAGTGGTGGTAGTGGTAGTGGTAGTGGTAGTGGTAGTGGTAGTGGTAGTGGTAGTGGTAGTAGTAGTAGTAGTAGTAGTAGTAGTAGTAGTAGAAGTAGTAGTAGTAGTAGTAGTAGTAGTAGTAGTAGTAGTAGTAGTAGTAGTAGTAGTAGTAGTGCTAGCAGCAGCAGCAGCAGCAGTGGTAACAGCAGTTGTTGTGGTGATGGTAGTAGAATCAAATCTGCTGCGGAAAAGAACAAATGATCGGATGCAACTGCGATAACGAAGATGACAACAACGATGACGACGACGACGATGATGATGATGCCGACGACGAAGATAAGAAGGAGGATGCTGACCATTATCATCATCATCATCATCATCATCATCATCATCATCATCATCATCGGCACCACCCCATCATCATCACCATCATACTGTCCTTTACTGCTGTCCGAGAAACGCATCTTCTCCTCATTGACACGGTCACGGGCTCTATCCGCAGAGCACTCCACGGTCTTCCACACCACGCCTGCAGCTTTGGCAAACCTCGGAGCTCCGATAGAGTACGCTTCACCTGCCTATTTGGGTGTGTTTTTGGGTTGCTAAGGGGAACCAAAAGGAAACTGGCTCGTTTTGGGATCTCCCCTTATCTTGCCACACAGCTGCTTGGTGGTGCTTCTGCCCAAAAGACCCGGAACCTAAACTTACCTGTCCAAAACAACTATGAATAAAAGGTACTCGCACCAAAAAGGCAGGCTTTGCACATCGGAGTAGAGGTCACCACCTCTTTGGTTGCCGCCTCACAGTGGAGCAACGTGGGAAACCGAGTTGGTGGGTTTCGAGGTGTTTCGGAGTACCTGTCCATCAAAGAACTGGGCACAAATCCCGAAACACGCTAGACCACCAATTGGTGGTGACATCAGAATTGGTGTTTAAAGCTTGGCCAGGCACACAAAACTTGAGCGGTGATCAAAATCAATAGGCCAAATTGCGCTGATATCATTTGGCGCTTCCGCGTGCTTCCGCGCGCTTCCGCGCTGCGGGCGTTTGCTTCCGCGCTCTCATTTCCCTTCCGCGCCTTCCGCGGCTTGCGTCTCTTTCTTGCCAAGCCAACACAACTAGATCCACGGAAGATGAGGCCAGATCGGCCCATGGCTTTGGATTTGGCGGCGTAGCTGGTGATACTAAAGGCTTGGACGCTAGAAACAGGTAAGTGAAACAGCCATGCTGGGGAAGCCCTGAAGAGATTGCGAGCCTGCGCTTGAGACATCCTTGTGCAACGTGGAGCCATCCAGTTTCTGTTACAAGCAGTAGACGGCTGTAGCAAATGGTTAATGGGTCACGACGAGCCCTGAAACGCGAATCCCAATAGATTTGCAACGCAAACGTGAAGCCTGACGACACACCGCGGCTACGATTCCCGCACAGGGCCAACGAGAACAACACATCGCACACAAGTAATCACAGAACCCTTCCGCGGTCCTTCCGCGCCCTTCCTCCAGTGTTCCGCGAATTCAGCCCAACATCAATGTAAGCCCCGGAGTTCAAAAACGATTTGTTTAGCCCGAACAAATCGTGTTTCAGCCCCGGGAGCAAAACGATTTGTTGGGCCCGAACAAATCGCTTTTCAGCCCCGGGAGCAAAAACGATTTGTTGGGCCCGAACACATCGTTTTTCAGCCCCGGGAGCAAAAGCGATTTGTTGGGCCCGAACAACTCGTTTTTCAGCCCCGGGAGCAAAAACGATTTGTTGGGCCCGAACAAATCGTTTTTCAGCCCCGGGAGCAAAAGCGATTTGTTGGGCCCGAACAAATCGTTTTTCAGCCCCGGGAGCAAACACGATTTGTTGGGCCCGAACAAATCGTTTTTCAGCCCCGGGAGCAAAAGCGATTTGTTGGGCCCGAACAAATCGTTTTTCAGCCCCGGGAGCCAAAACGATTTGTTGGGCCCGAACAAATCGTTTTCAGCCCCGGGAGCAAAAGCGATTTGTTGGGCCCGAACAAATCGTTTTTCAGCCCCGGGAACAAAAACGATTTGTTGGGCCCGAACAAATCGTTTTTCAGCCCCGAGCAAAAGCGATTTGTTGGGCCCGAACAAATCGTATTTCAGTTCCGGGAGCAAACGCGATTTGTTGGGCCCGAACAAATCGTTTTTCAGCCCCGGGAGCAAAAGCGATTTGTTGGGCCCGAACAAATCGTTTTTCAGCCCCGGGAGCAAAAGCGATTTGTTGGGCCCGAACAAATCGTTTTTCAGCCCCGGGAGCAAAAGCGATTTGTTGGGCCCGAACAAATCGTTTTTCAGCCCCGGGAGCAAAAGCGATTTGTTGGGCCCGAACAAATCGTTTTTCAGCCCCGGGAGCAAAAACGATTTGTTGGGCCCGAACAAATCGCCCCGGGAGCAAAAACGATTTGTCGGGCCCGGCTGCTTCGCTTCGATTCAAAAGTAACTTTTGGCCCAGCCAATCCTTTCCAAGAGGCCACGGTGACTCGGGAAACCACGTCACCACATCCCTCAAAGCGGAAAATCTTGGGGCTCGAGTCCTCCCGCCGCAAGTTGTGCCTCTTGCGGGTGATGGCCAAAACAGATTGTGAGGCCCGGTGCGGAAACGATGCCCGAACAAATTGTTTTTTGGCCCGGGGAGCGAAAACCCAAACAAATCGATCGCTTGAGAGCATTCTACACGCGCTCCAACAATGTTCCCCTTCCGCGCCCTTCCGCGGCGCAAATCTCTTAGTCAAGTCCGCCGGCCCTTCCGCAAGCTTCCGCGGCCTGCAGAAAACCTTCCGCGCGGATTGATTTCAGCGTTCCCTTACTTAAATTGCTTTGAGCATTTTTGATCGCTGCTCACTTGGGAACGCGTCCGAACCGGCCAAACAAACTGTGTGTTTCATAGTAGTTACCTCTGAAGCGCATCCGAAAAAGGGGCTTATTATTAGATTTTACACTCACACGCAGAGCTGCTTTGGTCCAAATCGGGAGGGACAATTGCAGCTGAGGAAGCTACAGGCTCTGCAAGCGGAAACTTTGAAGTGTCGCTTCACGACCTCCAGTTGACTTCAAACATCCGCCCCTTCTCACTGACTCACGCCCAAATGTACCGTAAACCATAAACTAACGTCTTGCTTTCATTGTGACAGGGTGACTGATCGCCTACTTCGATCAACTGCTAAAACTCCAAAGTTGCCTCCAAATGCAGCCGAGAAACTCTAAATACAACTTGACGTAGGGTGACGGCGAATAGTTCTTCTGGCCCCTCGTGTCGTACGCGCTGCTGTTTTGTTCATTCCACTCAGGAGAGGGGGGGGGCCAGTTCTGGTTGTCTATTCTTTCGCCCCAAAGGGAAAATGGAACTACGAATGGGACATCAGTGACCCTGGTTTTTGTGGGGATGCCATGTCCCGAACCCCACATGGACTAGGACATGTTGACCGAATCTCAAAGCAAATCTCAGTTGAAGGACCTGAAACAGCACAAGCCCCCAACAGGGGGGCCCCAAATTTATCTGCCAAAAAGGATTTCCAGGATGGGAATTGCAACGACTTAAAGCACCATTGGAAGGCAGGCCCAATTACTAATTCTTGAAGGGGGAGGTTTCCTGAGAAAGACTATGAGGCCAAGCGGTCGCGTCGCCTCTCATTGAAGCCTTCGATTGCCACTCGCTCGATCCCTGACGTTTCTCTCACCAAACAAAAAAAAGACAACGACAACACAGGAAACTACCCGACCCTGCCCCCTTCAAAGGGAAAGCTGCTTGAATCCAGCGCCTTCAAAGGCAAGCCAACATGACCCTGTTTGAACAACAGCCAAGGCAACACTGAGAACAAGCCTCCGCAGCTCTCGCCCACCAATTGTCAAAGGTATCTTTGAAGCGGGCAATCACACTTCGTAATTGAAGAGTAGAATGAGTTTCAATCAGATTCCTCAAAGTCGAACCCCCAGACATTTGGATCCGCCGGACGGGTGAGGTGCAGCGCCGAGCATCCAATCCCAGGGCTTGGCGCAGGCAAAGTGCACCACCGCCGCGGTCAAGGGGGTCAGCCCATCGAAGAGCGGGCGCTTGCAGTAGCGCACCTCACAAAAACATGGGCCCCGTGATTGCTTCCCACCAGTTTTAACTGGATAGTGCATGGACACCTCCCGATTGCTCGTTTGGGATCCGTTGTTTTGTGTAAAATACCTAACCCTGCTCATTTGCACATGCTCAAATGCCGGCCAGTTTTAAGACTCGTCGTCAGGACGCTAGAAGTTTGCAAATAAGGGTATATTGCCGTAGCGCCCAGTGTTTAAGCATTGTGGTGGACACTATCCCTTTCCGTGAGACCAATGTGGGATTCCCATCAACTGCCTTGTCAGTCTACAGGCGATTCCCTTGGTACAAGTGGCCCAAACACCCTAGTTAGCACCATGTGCTTCAAGGGGCAGGTTGTCTAGCAGAAGGATGCTTGGTCCTGGAGCTCAGTAGTTGGCCCCCCACACCCTGCCTTGCAACTAGGTGTGATGTATCTCCCAATCCATCTGATCAAACTGATCCCCCACTGGGTACCTTGCAAACATATCCAAAAACCAAACCCGTCTGATGCCATGCCACGGTAAAGTTGAACTCTGCTGGTAGCTCGCGCCAGCCCAGGTTGCAGCCACCCCCGTACTCCGACAACTCTTCCCCTGGCGTTGACGTGTGCGAATGGTCGCGAGAGCAAAAACTCCTGGCTTCTGATGCAACCACTTGCCATGAAGTCTCTTTTTTAAACAGTAATATGTTGCAAGTTGGACCCCGTTCAAAGGTTTCAACAACCGGCGACTTGGACCCTTTCATGAGCAATATGCACGTAGATCGCTAAAACAAATGGCGGGTGAGTGGGGTGCCTCTTTTGGAGGGCACCCATGTTGGAAGGGTTTCAAAGGGAAACCAGACACGCCCAAGTGGCTTCAACAGGATTAAGGCGATTGGCCCCCTTTCCGTTGTTCGAAACCGCTCCGACTCGACAAAACTTGAAGCAGTGAGTGTAAAACCTGCCGACTCCAAGAAGCGCACCCAAAACATGGATTTACAAAGGCAGCAGGTTGAAGAATCCGGGATCTTGGGGTTGAATTCTGGTGAGTCCCCAAGTCACGAAACTACGACCAAACCTCATAGAGCAATGAAAATTATAGCAGAACCTCCCACAGGGTTGCTCCGAAGACCTTAGCACCAGGGTCAAAATGTGGTTTTCTCAAGCAAATGTGTCACCCTTGGAAGGAAGCAGAGCAGCAGAGCTGTCAGGTTGCATTGCATCATTGCCGATGCCCTGCCTCCATCGAAGTAGATGGTGAAAAAGCCTGGCACGCATTTCCCAGAGTGACGAATATGATTCCCAATTGCTTGTTGGTGTTGCCATGGTGGTTCCCGTTGGTCCGCTTGCCACTGCTGCTGCTGATGATGACGACGATGGTGATGGTGATGAATATGAATATCAACACGATTACGTTATGCATATGAACATACATGCACTATGAGTGCGAATATGAAAAGCAACATGAGTACCAGTATTGTTAAGATGAGCTAGGACAATAACTGTGAATATGGGTGCAATGATAAGTATGATGATGAATGTGATTACGCCCGCGTTGACATGATAAATCAGTTCACGTGACGAACAAGAATAAATCTACACACACACACACTGCACATTCATACATACCATTGTGATTATTATGACAAACAGGATGGACGTGCTGCGCATGCCGAATGTGTTGAATAGGATAACCGCGAGCAATCTGATCAATATGACACAAGTGACAAACATGATGATTGTTAAGATGATGGTGCTGACGACAATGGTGCTGAGGATGGTGAAGTTGGCGATGAGGACGACAACGATGAAGATTGCAATAATTCTAATGGTGATGATGATGAAGATGATGATAATGATGAGGATGATTGTCGGCCAAAGCCGAAGGCAAGAAAGCTATTGGCAACAACGACACTGGAGTCAACGTTTCCAGACTAATGGATGTTGACAATGATGATCTTTGAAGGCCCTCTTTGAGAAGGGAACACAAAAACCTGAAAATAGCACCCTAGAAGGGGCCATGAAGCCCGTGGTTGACCCTCCATGAATCTGTTGACGGACAGAGGGGAGCAAGCAGCATGGAGTGCAAGACGGGAAGCGTGAGCAGCCCGCAAATCGACCAAATGTGTGTTCGCTAAAAGGACGATTGGGCTAGGCAGAATCAATAGCCCCCCGTTTGGAAGAGAGCAGGCCATTTAGGACCTGCCGTCATTTTGTTGCTTCCTTTGGGATGATCCCGGCCTCTTGCTGACCCAACCTATTGATTCATGTGCGAAGGACAATGATGGGCAGACATGTGTGTGTGTGTGTGTGTGTGTGCGGGGGAAACAAACAAACTAGGATGTGCCCAAACTATGTGGTATCTCCTTTCATGTAGATGGGGCTTGGTATGGAATCAAGCACAAAATATGCTTTAAAGCTCATGTTTGCTCCTTTGCTCTGAAAGCAGATAGCATTGGTTTCATTTTGGTTCTCACCATTTCTCAGTGGAATACATCCATTTGTCCAAAGGGACACTTCAGGAGCCTCTACCTGTTTTTCAAGGTTGTTTGTTTGTTTGGGGTCGCTTTCAAACAGCCAAACAAGTTTGTGGGGTTGCTTCCCGTTATTCCCCAACAGTGACAATGTGGGGTCCTCACCAATCTTGTGGCTTGGGCAGCCCGAGGGCAGGTTCCCGAAGGATTCCAGGCAAGTTGTGTGTTGGGGATGTCCGGCTGTGTTTGCTTGTGGGGTTCCTTGCATGAAACTGTTCGGGGGAGCCTCGACCCACTGGTGGGCTTTTTGAACGTTCCTTATGATTCCCCTTGAAACATCACCCTTCTTAGGGTCTTAGGGAACCTCACCTTCGGTGCACCCGCCAGGTGATCTTGAAATCAACAAAGGAAATATAGGGACCCCTGCGAAAACGCAGTCCTGTTCATTTTCACGGGAATGTGTGACAGCCCCACTCCTTGCTCGAATTGCTTCCAGTCGTCCAGCTTCATGGGTCTGTCTGAGCCTGAGCACCTCAAAGCCAAAGGGTGAAACTCCGTTCAGTCATGGTCTGTGGTCTCTCTTCCCTCCGTTCGAGAGGATGTGCGCGGTCTCTGTTTGAGCATGTTTAGCGGGCGGCTTTGGCCAATGCGATGACCTGTTGTCAGTCATGGTCATGCTTCACTTACTAGGAACCCGTATTGTTGTGTAACATGCCAAAAGGTTCAGGACCAGCTGTACCAAGTCAAGAGGTGCTTGACTCGATGGATATGTCACGAGATGCATTTCACCTCCTCTAGTGGCTAGGGACAAAAAGGCGCCTTTTGGTGGCTGATTGCAAGTGGATCTCCACTTTTGGGTTCCCGGGAAGGGAAGCCAGAAGAAACTCAACCTTTCTACCCTTGAAATATGGTCATGTTTGAGCCATCCGGTGTTGTTTCCCTAAGGCCGGTTGGATGAAATCGTAACCTAAAACCAGCAATGTTCCATGATTAGGCTAACTAAGATTGATTGGTGACAAGGTTGCTCTTTGCAAAGGCTACCCGTAACCCAAGGACGTTAATCATGTCAAAAGCACCCTTCTGACCGACTACCTCCCTCAGACAAAGAGGGATGACACTTTAAACTGGTTTTCATACATACCAAATTCCAAGTGGAGGGTAAGTACGCGCTTCCACGGGTTGAACTCCCTACAAATGGGGGGTGGAGCGCTGCCGAATCCTCCCTAATCTGATCCCGACTTCAGATCAATCGGCCGGCCAACAGCTGAGATTCAAGAGGAACACGAAGGTTGCTTGCTCTTGACCGGTGTCACTCGCTTTGCCTGTTTTGGTGGGTGGCTGCCATTTTGATCAAAGGAATGCCCTCAACTGCAACGAAGCACTTCCCCACCAAAAGCTGGTTTCCCAGCCCATTCCAGCCCTGACGAGTATGGTTCTCAGGATTAATCCAAAGGCGACACAGATCTCGGAAACCCATAAAGTAAACGTGACAACCCCTCCACATGCACTAGTGAGTTCGACCCCACTGTTTCCTGGATGTAAAACAGCCCATAGCTGCTCATTTCTGAACCCAGTCCCCTTCGAGTTGGACCCAGGGGAACTTCCACATCGGCTTCCTTTGTGGTGTAGGCGTTAAATCCCATCCAAGGCACAGCACCCAAAGCTCCGAGAAGCGCTCGAGGCATGGCCGAAGCACCAAGAAGCCTCGCGAGGCTTCACGTGGGTCTTGACATAGGGTACTGTATGTTGGTTTCCCTTTAACCAACCTGAAACGGGCCACCCTCAACACCCCCATACCTACGCATATGTATATATAGATATATATAAATACATGTAAGAGTTCCTTGATTGCAAGCTCTTGTTGAGAGGACTTGACTAGATACTACTACTCCTTTCTAGTGGAGTCCTTCAAATGTGCCTCCGACAATTAGACGAGGGTTCCCGCCTCCAAACCACCCCCAAAGAAAATAGGAGACATACAACCACGACATAACCACTACGTGGAGGGTATTTATATATACATATATACGTATCCTGTCTTCCCTTGGAGCTAGTGGTTTGGGGTAGTCAACACCCTCGAATCAGGGAATCTGTTCGGGGCTCGAATGGGGATTGCTTATGGCCAACCCCTTAATGAGGCCTTATTGAGGGCTTATCCTAGGCTTACCGCCATTGACCTCCCAGTGGTTTAAGATGATGCTGGCTGGTCACCATGGCTATTGATTTGGGGCACATCATTTTGGCAAGAAGCGAATGACAGTGAATGCCTCCCTATCTCTCCGGGGCAAGGGTGCTTTCTCAAAAAGCCGAACCCCCTGAAGGGTGGCTGGTTCAGGTAAAACGCTTGGTTTCCCTTTCAAACTATACGTACAAATTGGGATCCCTTCTTTCGAGACAGGATATGGCGATATCTAGGAACAACATACATCCCAGGCGACTCTTCCACCGCCATGAATCAAATACCTCCATTGCACACCCCGTGCTTCTCCCGTTCTCCTGCCACGCGACATGCACCTTCTCCCCCGCCTGTCTGCGAGATCATCTCTCCGTCCATGTGGGGCTGGGAGTCTGGCGCCGCCGCGAACTCGCAGTCCCCATACTCCTGATATGTATATATGATGTATGTATGTGTGTATGTACGTATGGATGGATGGATGGATGGATGCATGGATGTACGTACGTACGCACGTATGTACGTACGTACGTACGTACGTATGTACGTACACACGTACGCGTACGTATGCACGCAGGCACCCACGGACGCTCCCGCGCTCGCTGGCTCGCACGCACGTGAGGGTGTGGGGGTGGGGGTGGGCGTGGGTGTTTGTGTTTGCGTTTGCTTTTGTGCTTGTGCTTGTGTTTGTGCGTGTGCGCACGATGGTGCGTGTGTGTGTGTGTGTGTGTGTCTGTATGTATGCATATGCATGCATGCATGCAAGCATGCAAGCATGCATGTATGCGTTCGTATGTAGGTATGTATATGTGGGTATGCAGGCATGCATGTATGTATGGATGGATGGACGGATGGATGTACGTACACACGTGCCCGTACGTATGCACGCAGGCAAGCGGCACGCAAACTCGCTCGCTCGCACGCACGCACGTGGGGGTGTGGGTGTGGGTGTGGGCGTGGGTGTGTGTGTGTGTGCGTGTGTGTGTTTGTGTTTGCGTTTGCTGTTGTGCTTGTGCTTGTGTTTGTGTTGTGTTCGTGCGTCTGTGCGTGTGCGTGCGTGTGTCTGTGTGTGTGTGTGTCTGTATGTATGCATGCATGTGTGCGTTGGTATGTAGGTATGTAGGTATGTGTATGTAGGTATGTAGGTATGTAGGTATGTAGGTATGCAGGCATGTATGTATGTATGTATGTATGTACGTATGTACGTATGTACGTATGTACGTATGTACGTGTGTACGTACGTACGTAAATACGTATGTACGCATGTACGTATGTATGTCTGTATGTCTGTATGTCTGTATGTATGTCTGTATGTATGTAGGTATGTAGGTATGCAGGTATGTAGGTAGGTATGTGTGGATGTATGTACGGATGTGAGTATGGATGTATGGATGGGATGTATGTATGGAAGGACGGAAGGACGGAAGGACGAAAGAACGGATGGATGGATGGACGGATGGATGGATGTGTGTGTGTGTGTCTGTACGTATGTATGTATGTATGTACGTATGTATGTATGTATGTATGTATGTGTGTATGTATGCATGCATGCATGCATGCATGTATGCAGGGATGTATGGATGTACGTAGGTATGTATGCATGTATGCATGTATGCATGGGTGTATGAATGCGTGCATGTATGTATGTAAGTATGCCTGCATGTTTGTATGCGTACATGTATGTATTTCACGTAACGCTGTATAATGTACTGAAAAGGTAATGTATGGCAATGCATGCAATGTATGTAGTGTAATATAATTCAATGCAATCTTAGGTGAGGTAATGTATGTAGTATGTATGTATGTATGTATGTATGTATGTATGTATGTATGTATGTATGTATGTATGTATGTATGCATGTACGCATGTACGCATGTACGCATGTACGTATGTACATATGTACATATGTACCTATGTACGTATGTACGTCTGTATGTATGTATGCGTGTATGTGTGTGTACGTACGTACATACGTACGTACGTACGTACGTACGTATGTGTATGTATGTGTATGTATGTATGTATGTATGTATGTATGTATGTATGTATGTATGTATGTATGTATGTATGTATGTATGTATGTATGTATGTATGTATGTATGTATGTATGTATGTATGTATGTATGTATGTATGTATGTATGTATGTATGTATGTATGTATGTATGTATGTATGTATGTATGTATGTATGTGTGTGTGTCTGTATGTATGTATCTATGTATCTATCTATCTATCTATCTACCTATCTATCTGACTATCTATCTATCTATCTATCTATGTACGTACGGACGTACGGACGTACGTACGCACGTCTGTGTGGATGGATGGATGGATGGATGGATGGATGGATGGATGGATGGATGGATGGATGGATGGATGGATGGATGGATGGATGGATGGATGGCTGGCTGGCTGGCTGGCTGGCTGGCTGGCTGGCTGGCTGGCTGGCTGGCTGGCTGGCTGGCTGGCTGGCTGGCTGGCTGGCTGGCTGGCTGGCTGGCTGGCTGGCTGGCTGGATGGATGGATGGATGGATGGATGGATGGATGGATGCATGGATGGATGGATGGATGGATGGATGGATGGATGGATGTTTGCATACATGTACGGTACGGTGCGGACATGTAGTGTATTGTAAGGAAATGCACGGATTGTGGATGCCTGCATGAATGTATGTATACGAATAGGCGTGTTACCTATTTTATAGAAGCATTACGTACAATAAATGATCAGACATCGCTGACATCCCCCTGGACAGCACTCGTTTAGCGCCTCAGACTTGCGTGGTTCATGGTACGACAGACCTTGATTCAAGCTCAGCTGCTCTTACAGCCTGGCTGCTGTCTCCACCACATTCTGGATTGCCCCACGTCACAACTGCCCCAGATTCAAGAATGGCAGCAAAAGCACTCTGAGTTGCTTGGATGCACTGGACATTCCTCAGCTGCTCTTGCACCTGGCGGCTGTCTCCACCAAGGTTTGGATTACCCCAGGTCACAACAGCCCCGCAGTCAAGAATGGCAGCAAAAGCAGGGCCACCCGCTTGGATGTGACGGACGTTCCTTAGCTGCTCTTGCACCTGGCTGCTGTCTCCGGCCCAGGCTGAATCACCCCAGGTCACAGCAGCCCCAGATTCAAGAATGGCAGCAAAAGCACCGCCAGTTGCTTGGATGTGACGGACGTTCTTTAGCTGTTCTTGCACCTGGCTGCTGTCTCCGCCCCAAGCACCCCAGGTCACAACAGCACCAGAGTCAAGAATGGCAGCAAATGCACAGCAAGTTGCTTGGATGTGACGGACGTTCCTCAGCTGCTCTTGCACCTGGCTGCTGTCTCCACCCCAGCCTGAATCACCCCAGGTCACAACAGCCCCAGATTCAAGAATGGCTGCAAAAGCACCTGCAGTTGCTTGGATGTGCTGGACGTTCCTCAGCTGCTCTTGAACCTCACTGCTCTCTCCCCCGGATTGTGGACGACCCCAGGTCACAACTGCCCCGGATTCAAGAATGGCAGCAAAAGCACGGCTACTTGCTTGGATGCACTGGACATTCCTCAGCCGCTCCTGCACCTGGCTGCTGTCTCCACCACATTCTGGATTACCCCACGTCACAACAGCACCAGAGTCAAGAATGGCAGCAAAAGCACTCCGAGTTGCTTGGATGCACTGGACATTCCTCAGCTGCTCTTGCACCTGGCTGCTGTCTCCACCATGTTGTGGATTACCCCAGGTCACAACATGCCCAGATTCAAGAATGGCAGCAAAAGCACCGCCGGCAGCTGCTTGGATGTGCTGGACGTTTCTCATCTGCGCTTGCACCTCGCTGCTGGCTCTGCCAGAGTGCGGAGCGCCCCAGGTCACAACAGCCCCAGATTCAAGGATGGCTGCAAAAGCGCAGTCAGTTGCTTGGATGTGCTGGACATTCCTCAGCTGCTCTTGCAGCCGGCTGCTGTCTCCGCCTTGGTTTTCATCACCCCAGGTCACAGCCTCGCCCCCGTGGCCGTGCAACGCAAACGCCCTGAAGGTAGCAGCCAGTTTGCCAAGCTGCACAACAACCGCAGTCACCACATCCCCATCTCGCAACCCGGCCTCACTTAGCGTGGCTGTCAAATCGAGCTGCCGGCCTTTTGCAGTGAGCAATAAGTGGCGCTGGAAACGCTGCTGCGCTGCAGCCTGTAACACGCTGACGGGCATCGCCGGCGAGACTTCCACGGAGCAAGCATCGCCGCTGGGCAAGTAAACATCCACCATCATCGCGCAGGAAGTTTCTTCCATGCTTATTCAAGTTGCCAAACAAGAACCCGAAGCAGGAAAGCATGTAAGTTTTTGTGGATCCCTTGTTGAATAGTTCTTTTCGGGATATCCCAACGGTGTGGGCAAGTTTCAATCCTGGGACACGCCCATGCAAGAAAAGATCCTTAGGTCTTGAAGCATCCCCGTTGTGAGGGCACTGGGCAGAAGTTCTCAAGCTGAGGCCTGAGACTCACAGCGATTCGGTGGTAAAGACAACGGGGATTCGTTTGTCGGAGTTTGTCGGACTTGAAGGATCGCGGCGTCCTTGAGTCATAGCCAAAACCCAGTCAGGTGACGGAGTAGTACAAGGTGCCCCGCCTCCCTCAAACACTTTGAGGGGACCCAATAGGACACCCAGTGAAGGATAGTACCCAAAACCAAGAGAAAGGATCTACAAGGGGCGGCAGAAAGCTATCCGGGCCCAATTTGCGGCTGGGATTGTGCTCCAGTCCAAAGGGGTTCGTTAAGCTAGGCAACCCCCCAGAGCACGTGGAAATGGATATCCCATGGTTCAGTTCAGAGGACACCTTTCCCAACGCAAAGTTGTCCTCATCTTTCTTGGTGGGTGCTCTTTCTTTGATTACTTTTGCCAACTGTACCGCTTTTGGTTGTTTCTTCAAGAATGGGCAAGCTTAACCCTGAGGAACCTTCATGGGATGGTTCCTTCGCTCATAGTATTTCCCCATATGGTATCACTGAAGTGAGGGTATCTGGGCATTAATTTCAAGTGGGGACTCTTTGGTGTCATTTAGGAAGGGATTCATGTCCGCCAACCTCTTTTGAGGTGGTTCTCTATGAATATCTGCGTTCCCAAACGGCTCCTGGAACACGGTGTCCAGATTCCGCAGAACCCTGAACACACCGCGGCGCGAATTCCGGCACGCAGTCCGCCAAGAACATCGGTCCAACACTGAAATGGAGGCGACATATTCTGAGACATACCGAACAACCAAAGATTCACACGGACCCCGCACACACACACACACCAAAAAACAAGGAGCATCCCACACACGAAGCCCAGGAAGCATCCCTCAAATTTTGTTGCGAAACATATGTTTCCCTGAACTTCCCCAAAACCCAATCAGAACCCGCCCCAAAGACGCCAACACTCAAAATTGGCCCAAACACATAGCCGCAGCTGCTGTGCAAAACAGACTTGTAACGGATGCTCCTTGCGTGCTTGGTTCCTGCGATAAGTGGTGCGAGCCCTCGCTTCTGTCTAAGATGGTTTCTGCTACACACCAAACCACAAATTTCAGGGGACTCGAGGGAGTACAACAACTAAAGCAACCGTACAAAGATTGTGTACACCAAGAGTTCGGTCTGTCCGTTTCTGAACGTGCGCGCCGCCAAGCCAAGCAGCAAGATGTCGGTATCGATGTAGATAACCTCGCGCCAGTTCAGCGAGTTTCAACACCTGTTGACACAAGCTGTGCCTGAAAGTCCTCATGAAGGCCATGGTCATGGTTCGTTCCTATGAAGGAATCCTTAGGTTGGGTGTCTAATTTCCCTGTCAACGAGTTCACGACCCTTCCTATCAACCCTACGTAGCATTATGTTTTGACATGGCACACATGGGATCAAGGGAAATACCGCCCTATGAATGTCAAGGGCACCCGCCCAGTGCTAGAAACCCGCCAGAAAGATCCTATAAGAAGCCTTGTACGTGCCGCTGGGGGTTCTGTGCCCCAACCTGATACTCCCCTTAGAATGGGTGTACACGAGGTAAGTACAAAGTTGTTCATTCGGGGCACGTGTAGCTAGCAGGAATTCTAAAATATCGGGAGAACATTGTTGGGATGTCCAAGCAACGGAACTATAGGGTTGCCAAAACGGGGGTCCCTATGTTGGGTAACAACCATATGGGGATATGCGGAGCGGGGTGGGTGGGGCTAGGGCAACCAGCTGGTTTTTCACCAATTTTGCCAACCGCCAGCCGCGGAATCCAGGATTGATAAACTTAAACCCCTGGTCAGTTAACAAGTGGGGACCCATGTGGGGGAACTTTCCTCAGGGGTGATCTCTATTAGTCCACTAGGCATACTTTTTCCACGCCCAACATTAAGATTTTCCAGTACCCCAAGACACTACCCCCAAATTGAACAATGGCAGTATACACACACCCTCTTGTTCTGTGGCATCGTCTGTGCGATTCTATGTGAAGCCGTGTGCCGAAGTTGCGTTGGTGTGGAAACCATTTACCCAGCCTAATGGGTGCAGACGATAGCCTCCGAAAAGTAGCAGTCCCATTTCTTTGACTCGTCCGCAGGGAACCAGACTGGATTCCACACTACAGAACTCAGAAAAGTTCGCAAAGTACAACAGTTGCTTGAAACTAAAGAGTGGAAACGACTCAGTAAAACAGCACACCAAGAGGTGCACCAGGGTTGGTCTAAAGATCCGATCGCGTTTGGATTCTCAGGGGCCAGCTCTTGAGGCCTAAACCGCCCCCTCAGCCCCTCGGCCTTGTGGAAGGGCAAGGCCCAGAGCCAAATCTTGGAAAAGAAGCCCCGCGCTTGAGGAGTGTCGACTCCTCGGAGTTCTCATGAAGTCGAGCCGACACGCGAACGCGTTCTGAAAACAAAGAAACCAGCAAAAACATCAGCAAGGCCCAAAGAACGCGAAAGCGATGGTTTTATTTTATTTTGGGCTGCCTTGACATAGAATGAACCAACGCGGGAAAACCAAGAGGTCAGCTTTGGGCAAGTGGGTCTGGAAGAGATTTGCCGAATCAATGGCATGTTGAGGGTATGCCGTCAGTCCTGTCATTTTCCCCGCTGGTCTCTAAGAACATCGCGAAAGAGAATTGGCTGAATTTCTAGCCAGCGTAAGACGAGCGATTCAACCTTCGATAAAGGTCCCCAGCTTGCATAAACAATGTGGGTACTACTGGGGGGGGGTCCGACTTGTTTCCCACTTTGTTGTAGATACGTGATACCTCTTTACACTTGATAGGGGCTCAAGGTTGTAGTGCCCTCAGTTGGTCAGGGCCCATTTGGCATTCGCCAGGGCTATGGGAGACAGGGCACCCTTGTTGAACAAAGGCTCTGCCCCACTGGAGGTCCGGAGCCCAAACAACCCAACTCAGCTTTTGCCTCCAACTGAAGATGACATGCGTCCTTCAAACCTGAAAGTTCACCCTCAAAGGAGACATACCCGCATTGACGATCAACTCATTTACAAAGTATGTGGGCTTTAAGCTGATTATAGATGATAGATCAATTAGCCCATGTTATCCCCACCATTGTTTTCCACGGTTGTGCTCATCAATGACACCAATCTGTGAAAGGATACTGAGAAACATAATGATGCACCAACTTCAACTAATTTGACACCAATCACAAGGTGGCTGTCAGATGTGAGAAATCTTGTTGGTGCTCGACGCCTGCAACCTTGAGCAAGGGGACAAAGGGGACGCAAGAGCATTGGGTTACGCCCCTACCCCGCCATGCGAGGCGGTCACACACCTTGACAGTTCCCTTGTCACCCACCACCGCCTTCCCGAACTCTTCCTCTGCCCGGAGATTTGAGCAAACTTCAAAGAGACATAATTTCGACCCCGGAGTAATCAACCTGCTGCATTCATAGGGTGGTGTTCGCCCTCCCTCCCCCCCCAACAAAAAAACAAACAACAAAATGGTCAAACCAGGGGTTTCTTAATCCTAGGTCCACCTATGGCCTATGCAAGATTTCTCCAAGCCAAGCCAAGCAAGCATGCCAACCATCTTGTTCTTGCAAAGGAGCTCAGCCAGACCTTCCCTTACCAAGCTCAAGCGACGTGACTCGGTGACTCAGTCCTTCATAGCCCGCGAGGCCCACCTCCAGCAACAGCCACCCTGCGCGCCGCAGCGCGGCCCGCCCCGGGGCGCTGAGACCGGCCGTGACCAGTGCCACGAGCGGCCGCGTGGTGCCTGCAGTTTTTCCCAAAAAACCGACTGGGCGGGTTTTTGGGAGAGGGGAGAGGACTAGGCAAAGTGTTCGGCGTAACCTGGGTGGGCTCTTCTGACCTTAAAAGAAAAGGTAATTGGGGCGGGTCTTGCAACGAATCTAAGGGCACATATTTCCCCTTTTCAATCTCCTCTTGAGGTGCTGCTCTAAATGCACCAACCTGTTGTCTGAGAAGGTCGCAGGAAACTCCAGAGGAAGTTACAGGAAGCTAGCCCAACCCGGAATCTGAAATGCAATCCAAAACATTGTCCTTTTGCGTTTGGTGCGCAAAATAAAATCAAGTGCGCATTAATAAGTTTCCAACCCAACAGGGGCGGGGTAGCCCGGCCCGATCTACCGCATGAACACCCAGTTTTACCCCCCCCCCCCCCCCGCTTCGCGGGGTTGGGCCTTTCCAACCTTAGCGGCCGGCTGCGGCAGCGTGATGCAGCAGAAGCCACAACCCTTCCGGCAGATTCAGCCATGCCACTGTGTGAGACCAGCTCAAATGTCCCGCGCTTATCATAACGTTGAGTTTCTCGCGTTTGCCGTTGCGTTGGGAAACTCGTGAGAAAGCAGAAGGCCCGCTAGCCAAGCAAAACACAAGGCCTACACACTTGGGCCATGCCCAACTCTAACAGCAACTTATGGTCCGTGTTGCTTCTGTAAAGCTATGCATCTCGTTCACCAATCTTAGGTATTGGCTTTGCGTCGCAACACCCCACCAAATCGAACGTCCAGGAACTCAGGGAGAAGCTTTAAGAAGCCTCATGTGCGGACGCATTGCTGGGCGTCCTGGCCAGCATGGCAGCCTTTGGTCTTGTTTCTCGGCCATCACAGTGAGCTGCAATCATTTATACGTATAATCTAATGTACCCGACCTACGAGTACAGTTAAACTTGCAGATTTCCAAGCCCGGAACATGGGCGGCCACAAATGGGGGATACTGGAGTCCTGCACGTCTTAGAACCTGCAAGGGGCTTTCTAGTCATGAAGTCCGCTTTCTCGTCTGCAAAGGTTCCTGGGTGCCGTTACGTTAGCTGGTCCCCTGTTTGGGGGGCTTACAACCTTAAGGTGTTCAGGATACTAGCCTGCGATACAACGGCTAGGTGGGGTTTTGTCGACATTTGCCTTTTTGACTGTGGCTTGGATCAATAACCGGCAACGCTATCACGCCAAAAGCCAAGAAAACGTCACGAACATGCAGAGCAAAGACCAAAACATCTACGCACCCCCAAGCGAATACCACCAACAAGCATGAAAAGCAAAGAACAGAAAGCAACTAAACACCGCAAAAGGAGAATTCAATAGGGCGCCTGTCTGCGTTTGAAACAAAACCATCGGCCGCGCCTGTGGCGGCCAGCGAGGCTGCCAAGATCTCGGCACCCACCACGTAGTCCTAACAAAACACACCCGGGGTCTGTCTCAAGGGGGACCCTTCCTCAAAAAACAAGACAGAGAGCTCGATTTGCGAAAATAAAAACGGCCTTGCCTCTTCGGTTTGGAGTCTCTTATGTTTGTGGAAACTAACCGCTTCCAACACGGCCACTCATTCGAGACCCCCCGGCCCCCCGACCAAAATTGTTCTCAAGGCCAAAGGGCGTCGTTGGTGAGGTGCGTCACGTAGACCTCCAGTAGCTCAGGCTGCACATGCGCCGGGAGCTCGGTCCATAGCCTGAAATCAGGACGCACCTCCTCCAAACCCCACGTTGCTCGAGGGGTTGTTGGAAAAACAAGGCTCCATTGCGAATACGGCTTTTTGTCAAGGCATAACATGATACCCTAAGTGGGTATTTGTGGAGTCGGGGCACCCAACTCAGGCAGGGTTGCTCACATTATCGACACAGGGTAGAAGTTTGGAAGCGTGGTGGAGGAAACTAGAGGAAACCACGCCGAACTAATTTTCGACTCTTGTTGTTTGGTCCATCTTTTAATGGCTCGAAGAACCCCTTGAAGGAAAACCAGTTTCGCAGTGTTGGGTTGCTTAATTTTGAGATGGCCACGAAGCAATTGGTTGAGTTTACAAGGACACCCACCCCAACAAAAGGAACATGACGCTTATTTGCTGAATGATTTGAAGTAGGCACCCATTGCAAATCAAATCTATGTACTTGCGTATATCTAGCTATGTATACGTGAATTCACGAGAACTGCCAGTAAAATCTGCAAACAGGTGTTCCGTTTTCGGTGTTTGTTTGTTTCTTCGGGATATGTATATATAATACATACATATGTATATAGTATACATGTCTTTGGTAGTTAATTCTAGGCTTTCCTCTGTGCCCCCTTTGATTCTAACACCAACCCACCCAACGGAATGTCAGCAAACATCAGACATCAGCATCCCAAAGGGGATGTCTTCACCACCATCCCTGTGAACAACCTGTATTGCAAAGGGCCAAGCAATCAACTGATCGTTGTTCCATAACCATGAGGTAATTTCATTTAACAGTAACCCATTATCCCATTCTAATCATGTAGGCCCATGTAGCACCCAACCCTAAAAGGGCGTTCTAAGCCCCAACATGTTTTCCTCCACCTATTGGAAGACGGCACTTCCTTTTTTGGCAAGGGGCCCCTGTGCGCTGATCCAAGTCTGTTGATGGGGCGTTATCCTTCAGGGTTGCCCCAACGAGCATTTCACAAAAATCGAAAGTTGGCCCCAAGCAGAACGCAAGGACCCAATTGACCCAGTGCCAGTTTTCTGCTAGCTTGCAGAGCGAGGCGCCCCCTTGCTATGGCCTCCTGTACAGCTTCGCACCTCTTGAGAAACTCGGCCGCATCTCTGCCTCGGAACTTGTCTCCCGATGGCCTGATGGGGAACCTGGAACATGCCTAGTTTCCCTTTGGTTTCCCTGTTGAAACCGCCCCAAACAAGGGATAGCATCAGGGAAATGCTCTGCCAAGGGCGAAGAAAGCATGATGTCCAGAAACTTGAAAACTGAGTTTTGGCAATATACAATATAGATCAACATTGGTATCCTTTTACAATGGGCACTAGCCGAGGCACAATGTTAAACAGGCCAAGTGTTAGCTCCGAGGCTTTGCACCCCCCGGCCGGAAGCCATGAATAACAAATCGGCTCCTTCAGATGCTACACTTGTCCTTTGCAAGCAGCAACCCCTTTGTAGCCGACAAAACCAACTTTACACATTCATCAAAGCCCACAAGCTGGGATTTGGCTCAGTTAGAAGAGACAGGAAAGTGTTGAGGGCCAGAATCCAAAGGTGGGGGTTCCCGGGAACAAAGCAAAGGGAAACATGCAGGCTTTCCGATCGCTTGCAAGAGTATCAATAGGCAAAGTTGTGGGATGCTTCCTCAGGATGTGCTCCTATTTTGAGGGCTGTTGGCTATTTTTTTGGATTCGAACCAAAGGCTTCGATGGCTCACCAAACCTAGAAAAATCCAGTTGTTCACCTTTAACGTGGACTAAATATGCACGGACCCGAAAGAACTACCCTTAACCATGGGCAGCCCAACAATTACTGGTATTGTTTTCCCTTTTTGTAAGGGTAACTCTTGAGGGTGCAGGCAGCTAGACTAAGCCAAAGACCCAGAGTGGGTTGTTTGGAGACCACTGGAATCCACCATTTCTGGCTGCCGTTGCTTGCTTGCTTGAGGAATATATTTTCGGGAATCCACCATGTACTGGGCAGTCATATTCATTCGCGCAGCAATTTCTTTGTTATGGCTGTACCCCTGAGGGCTTGGGATTCACTGGGCCTCACGAGGCCCTCAAATCGGGCCCGTTGCTTGTTGCTCAGCCCCAAAGGCCCTTAAGCCGTCCGATTTCGCTGGTGGGGTCCTCCACCACCCGGCCTGTAAGCAACACTTACGGCAAATCCAACGAGTTGAAATCTCTAGTTGCGAAGCCCCTTCGGCTTTGACGAGCAACTACACTGTCCATGTTACAGCCAAATCGAACTCAGCTGCTCTTGCACCTGGCTGCTGTCTCCGCCCGCGCTTAGATTGCCCCAAGTCACAACAGCCCCAGATTGAAGAATGGCAGCAAAAGCATGGTCAGTTGCTTGTATGTGCTGGACACTGCATAGCTGCTGTTGCACCTGGCTGCTGTCTAAGCCATATAGTGGCTCACCCCAAGTCACGACAGCCCCAGATTCAAGAGTGGCAGCAAAAGCACCGAAAGTTCCTTGGATGTGCTGGACGTTTCTCAGCTGTTCCTGCACCTGGCTGCTGTCTCCGCCCCAACACGGAATACCCCAGGTCACAACATGCCCAGATTCAAGAATGGCAGCAAAAGCACCGCCGGTAGCTGCTTGGATGTGCTGGACGTTCCTCAGCTGCTCTTGCACCAGGCTGCTGTCTCCGCCTTTTGGATCACCCCAGGTCACAACAGCGCCTGATTCAAGAATGGCAGCAAAAGCACTGGCAGTGGCTTGGATGTGCTGGACGGTCCACAGCTGCTCTTGCACCTGGCTGCTGTCTCCCCCCTCTCTTCGATTACCCCAGGTCACGACAGCCCCAGATTGAAGAATGGCAGCGAAAGCACGGTCAGTTGCTTGTATGTGCTGGACACTGCATAGCTGCTTTTGCACCTGGCTGCTGTCTCCACCACATTCTGGATGACCCCACGTCACAACAGCACCAGAGTCAAGAATGGCAGCAAAAGCACCCCGAGTTGCTTGGATGCACTGGACATTCCTCAGCTGCACTTGCACCTGGCTGCTGTCTCCGCCTAAGCTTGGATTACCCCAGGTCATAACATGCCCAGATTCAAGAATGGCAGCAAAAGCACCGCCGGCAGCTGCTTGGATGTGCTGGACGTTACTCAGCTGCTCTTGCACCTGGCTGCTGTCTCCCCCCTCTCTTCGAGTACCCCAGGTCACGACAGCCCCAGATTGAAGAATGGCAGCGAAAGCACGGTCAGTTGCTTGTATGTGCTGGACACTGCATAGCTGCTTTTGCACCTGGCTGCTGTCTCCACCACATTCTGGATGACCCCACGTCACAACAGCACCAGAGTCAAGAATGGCAGCAAAAGCACCCCGAGTTGCTTGGATGCACTGGACATTCCTCAGCTGCTCTTGCACCTGGCTGCTGTCTCCGCCAAAGCTTGGATTACCCCAGGTCACAACCTGGTCCTCAGGGCCATGCCTAGCGAATGCACTGCTTGTGGCAGCCAGTTGGCCCAGCTGCACAACTGCAGCCACCACTTCGCCATCTCGCAACCCGGCCTGACTCAGCGTGGCCGTCACATCGAGCTGCCGGCCCTTCGCACTGAGCTTCAAGGGGCGCTGGAACTGATGCTGCGCTGCAGCCTTCAGCTCTCTGATGGGCGTCTCCGGTAAAACTGCAATGCAGCAACAATCTCCGCTGGGCAAGCAAACATCCACCTTCATGGCGCAGGAAGGCCCTGCTGGCATTGAAGTTCTCAAACTGCACTAAAGCCAACGTTACAACTGCTTCATCAAAGCCCACAACAAATTGGGTCAGAATCCAAGGTGGGGTTCCCGGAAACAAAGCAAAGGGATCGATTGTAAGAGTATCAATAGGCCAAGTTGTGGGATGCTTCCTCAGGATGTGCTTCTGTTTTGAGAGCTTTTGGCTACGTCGCTCGGTTCGAGCCACAAAGGATGGAAACCGATGGCTCACAAACACCCAGAAAAAAAGGTCCTCACCTTTAACCTGGACTAAATATGCACGGACCCGAAAGAACTACCCTTTCTCAATGTCAATGAACAGCCGCCCCAATCGGCAGCTCGCGCACTCGCCCTTTTCCAAGGCAAAGGCCGCCAGTATCACACGTAGACGCGTCCATGAAATGAACTCATGTCAAAAGCAATTGCTTGAAGGTAAATGCAACGTATGTTCAAATGCACTGCACAGCAACTCGTGAGACACTGAGACTTGGAGGCTAAAGCACATCTATTGACATGCCCCCAAGGTTCTAGCCGAAAAGGCTCAAGAGTCTCGCCGCATGATGTCTGCCCAGGTCAGTTCGTGGGGCCCAGGTTCATCATCTCCAAGCTTCCGTTGCTTGCTTGTCGACGGGGTTGTCGAGGTCGCGGTGATTGAACTCGAAATCGAGCTCTGAACGTTGGTTCCTCCACCACATCTGGGCAAATTATAATAATTCTCACCTCGTCACCTCGTTAGCGTAATTCGCTATCTGGATTTACCACCCCGCCTCGTCAGTTACACCCTCCAGAAATAACGCCTCGTAAGCCATGCCCCGGAAAATGCATTGCCACCACAAAACAAGACCTTCAAAAAACGACATGGAAATCCCCGGGTGCACTTGGGGCAGGCTATGTGTTCTGAGGAACCTGAACCCTTCTGCGGTTGGCTTTGAAGGGACACCAAAAGGAAGCGTGGATTTTTTGTGGGGTGGGGTGCGGTTCAAGTGGGGGATGGGGGGAGGGCGAGCGCAGCAGCGCGTTGGTGCAGCGCCGCCCCACTCCGCTCCAGTGCGGCGACAGCCCAGGGAGCGGACCTGCAACAGAGGTCCGGAAAGATAAAAGATAGCCTGGAAACTCCCGCATGGAAATGTGCTCCATTTCCAAAACAAGTTGTCCAAATGGTGCAAATGACAGACCGGGTGATTTTTTTGGGCCCGGAAAATCTAAATTCAAAGGTTCTGCCAAGCCATCCCTGCTGTTTGATCGTCGGCAACCTTTCTTACGACTTCTTTTTGGAAAAGGAGCACATTTCCACATGGCAAGTTGCAAGTGGCAGGGGATGGTCTTTAGAGTGTCCGGGCCCCTAAAGTACAACCTCCGGCCATTTTCGCTGAGGTGACCAAATCCGCATCGAACCAAAATGAAAGAGAGGCTGCTTGACAGAGCTTTTTTCTAGAACTGTGCGTGCCGCATCGCACGCTAAAAGGCAGACTATACGACCAAGTAGATTTCCAGTTTCTGGCCAGACTTGGCCGGTTGCAGAACTAGCTGAGGCTTGGCGAGACAAAGGAGAGCTCTTCTGTTTCCCCCCCTCCCCCCCTTGTCCCACCCAAGGAGCCCTTTTGAAGGAAACGGTCAAAAAACGACTTCTTTTTGGAAAAGGAGCCGGTTTCCATGTGGCAGGCCAACACTGCAGACAGCTTGTGTTTTTAGGGCCCGGGAAATCTAAACTGAAAGGTTCTGCCAGATCACCCTTGCCATTTGCAACTTGCCATGTGGAAATGTGCTCCTTTTCCAAAAAGAAGTCGTTTTTCAGGGTTTGGGGCAGCCACCCCGATCCTGTCCTGGCCATCAGCCCAGTGGCCGGCGGCAGGCAGCGCCGCAATGCGCCGCAGCAAAAAAGAAAACCGCCGGGATTTGAACCCGCGAGGTGTGAGATCCCTCGGGGATTAGCTCAAAGATTTTCACTCACCCAATCTATCTTATCAAAAGGGCGGGGGGGCTGGGGGCCTTTTTCCCAAAGGCTTGAACAAGGCCGGGCTTAACACGCATTTGCCAGAAAGCTATGTCCAAGCATTGCTGTTTCACCACATATCTGTGGCCAGAGCCCCTTTTTCAAAAATAAATCGTTTTTCCCCAAACAGTTTACTGTGAGGGGTTCTAAATTCATTTAAGGTGGCTCGCCTGTTGCCAAGCCAAGCCCTAGCTCGGGTTCATTTTCATTTGTCTCTGTGTCTCCCTTCATTTGTCTCGTGTCTCCCCGCCTGGATGCCTGGCACGGCTCTCTGGGTGGACGCGTTCGTTTGTCTCCCTGGGTTCACTTGTCTCCCTTTGTCTCCCTTCATTTGTCTCCCGTTGTCTCCCAGCCTGGATGATCCAGTCTGGGTGGACGGGTTCATTTGTCTCCCTTTGTCATTTGTCTCCCGTTG